AGGAGGAGGCTGGGTGTGGTGGTGCATGCCTGTAATCCTAGCAGCTCAGGAGGCTGAGGCAGGAGGATGAGTTCACTAAGCAACTAAGCAAGTCAGTGAGACCCTGTCTCTAAATAAAATACAAAATAGGGCTGTGGATGTGTCTCAGCGGTTGAATGCCCCGAGTTAAAAGTTCAACCCCTAGAACCAGAATTAAAAATAAACAAATAAATAAAAGAAAGAGGAGAAAAAAAGAAGGGGTGGGGGACAAATTAGAGTCCTCAAGGACACCCCCCCATAGCCAACTTCCTCCAACTATGTGACTGCTTATAGTTTCCACTATCTCCCAATAACCCATTCAAATTATTAATCCACTGTTTAGATTATAGTCCTCATGTCCAGTCACTTCCCAAAAGCCCCACTTCTGGACATTGTGTCCATAGGACAAAAGTCTTTAACTCATGAGACATTCCAGATCCAAACCATAACACTGTGTGCCCAGAAAAAGAGAAGAAAAGATTCCCAAACATCTAGCCTGTCCCTTCCCTGAGGATGGATTTGAGACACAGTCACCATCCTAAACTCAGTCATCTCCTGAATTAGTTTCCTCAGGCTACTGCAACCTGAGTGTCTCAAAACCACAAAAAATCATTATATCATAGTTCTGGAAAACCAAGGTGTCTGCAGGGCTATGTTTCCTCTAAACCTATAGGGGATGCTTCTTTGCATCCCTAGCCTCTGGTGGTTTGCTGGCAATCTTTAGTGTTCCTTGGCTTGAAGCTGCATCTCTCTGACCCCTTCATATCACATAACGGTCTATCTGTGGTCTGTCTTCACATGGCTGTCTTTTTTGGGGAGGAAGGGGATACCCGGGATTGAACTCAGAGGCACTCAACCAGTGTGCCACATTTCCAGTCATATTTTGTATTTCATTTAGAGACAGGGTCTCACTGAGTTGCTTAACACCTCATTTTTGCTGAGGCTGGCTTTCAACTCACAATCCTCCTGCCTCAGCCTCCCTAGCCACTGGGATTACAGGTGTGCGCCTGGACCACAAGGCTGTCTTATAAGGACATCTGCCATGTTGGATTAGGGCCCAACCTACTCCTGTACGACCTCTTTACTAATCACATCTGCAATGACCCTATTTCCAAATAGGTCACATTCTGAGGTACTGGTGATTAGGACTTCAACAACCTTTGTGGAGGGACACAATTCAACTAAGCCTTGGTTACTGGGACCATGTTGATGGTCCTTCCTCTTTTTCTTGGTAAAAGACCACTTGGACTTTTGCAGAATCCCAGACCATGTAAAGGTCCATGCAAGTCCATTGGATGTTGATGCCCATAGCCTTTCACAGCTTAAAAGGCCTCAGGGCATAGCTAAGTATGGTGGCACACTCCTATAATCCCAGCTACTCCTCTTGCTAAAGCAATAGGATTGAAAGTTCAAGGCCAGCCTGGGCAACTTAGTGAGACCCTGTCTCAAAATAAAAAATTAAAAGGGGCAAGGGTGTTTCCCAGTGTTAGAGTGCCCCTGAGTTCATCTCCTGTAACAGGGGATGGGGGAGGCCTTGGGCATAGGGAGCCCAAATAGTCATCGCTGTGCGTAGCTCTTTGCAAAACCAAAATGCTCATGGGTTGGTACACCTTGTTTAATCAGAGCATCCTGGTACCCTCCTCTATCCCCACTGGATCCCAAAGCCCAACTATTCAACAATGCTGTTGCAGTGCAGAGGCAGCCATGGATGACAATATAAAACAAGGTGGACATGACTGTGTTCCAATTAAACTTTATTTGAAAAAAAAAAAAGATGGTAGGTTAATTTTGATCCACAGACTGCATTTTGAAGTCCTGGGTTAAATTTAAAAAATATATTTAAGTTGATTTTACTCCTCCCCATGTGTCTGCTAGAAGATTCCAGGTTGCATTGACTCACAATGTTATCAGTATTGGACAGAGGTAAGTTAAGCATTTTATAATTTTAATTCTGGGTTAACTTACCTTGGGAGAGGGATGGAGTGGGGTGTATGGTGTGTGAATTCTCATGACAGTTTAGAGAGCTCCCTAGCCAGGTTCCCCACTTCTGAGTGTGGATCCCTGGAGCACTCCTGACTGCTTCCTGCTAATATCTTGACCTGAGGCTTCTAGTCCTAGATTTCCCTTGGGACTAAAGAGAAGTTCCTTGAATGGCCACCAGGTGATGCTGTTAGTCTACTTGGTCTCTACCTGGCTCTGCCACCACTTTGCTGTGTGGTTTTTGGACTTCAATTTCCTCCCTTGTAAAATGGAGTTAGACTAGACTAGTGAGAACATGAACTTTGGAGGCAGACAAAATTGGATTTGAATTCCAGCTCCATCAGCACCTCAGTATGACTTTTGTGGGTCCCAGATACTTTTCCTTTTAGGTGCCTTCCTCCATCAAAATTATTTTAAAATTATATTTTATAATGATGTCTGATATAAAGAAAAATATTAATACTGCATATTAAAATTTTTCTTCAACTAAAAGTTTATCATTTCTGAGGCTCCTAAAATTACTATTGTGCCTACCTTGCCCAATGGGTGAGTCAGTTCTATCCTCCTCTGCTCTAGTTGTGTGACCTTAGGCAAGTTGTTTAACTTCTCTGAGCCTCAGTTTCTTCATCTTCAGAGTTTGGATGATATCAAACCCCACCCTTTAGTGCTAGGATTGAAATTCAGTGAGATAGTGTACCATGCCTTCTTAAAACACAGCCTAGAACAGAGGAGGCTTTGCAAATGTCAGCTATTATTTGTTATTTTTGTCTTCTTTTCCACTCTAACCTCTGTGAATTGCTGAACAGATCTCAAAACAAGCAGGAATCTCAAGGCAAATATCTCAGAATAATAAAGCGAAGTTTCCAGGGTATTTGATGGAGAAAGTAAAGAGTTTTCTAGAGAATAGAGTGGCAACAGACTTTTTTTGCAAATGAATACAACCTCCCTCTTGCCATCAGAGAACTCATGAGAGGCAGGAACATGGGCTTAACCACCCAACCAGAAGCTGAGCTAGCTGGAGAATATGTACCAGAAAAGGGAATCCTTGGAAAATATGTGTGTATGTGTGCATGCGCTCATGCATGCATGTTGCATACATATATCCTTGCTTCTTTACATTTCCTTTGTTTTACTTTATTTCAGTAACTTCCCTGGACTCCTAAATCTTGAAGCCAGAGGTACCAGGGTCCTGTGGGTTAGCTGACTCCGTCAGGATCATTCAGGGAAGCTTGGGGGATTATTCAGAATGCTGACTCTTTCAAAATCATCATCATCAGACTTGGCAACAGATGAAGGTGTAAGCCTCTCTTAGCGGATCTGATTTCCACCCACACCTGCCTGGGCCCAGTGCCTTTTCTTGTTCTGGAAGGGATGAGGGCTTTGGCCTCCAAGTTAGTCACCCTTTACTGGTTTGGCAACTGCCCTTTATACTTGCTTTCTCCTACGATGAGCCAGGCTTGCTAAACTGGAGAAACCCTCCTCATCCCCAACCTGGTAACAGGGACAATTGGTAAAGGTCAATAAGGGAAGGTTTCTGTGTGTGAGGCAGGAAAGGGATGTTACTAAGGAAGAGGATACGACAAGAAATAGGGGTGTCTTCATTTCTCAGAGCTTGGTTGCCAAAATACCTACTGTGGTGAATGATAAAGCAACAGAAACTTGGCAGGTTTCCTTCCATGGCAAAAAGGCATTCTGAATAATTAAATGAGAGCAACATGAACCCAAAGATGTAAAGCTGTCTACTGTGACAGAACAAGTTCTGATAAAAATATAGTTTCCATTTATCAAGGACTTAGTGTCATGCTCATACTCAATGTCCATCACCCAATTTAAACTTTACCTGTGAGCTCAATTCTCTTCTCATCTCTATTTTGCTCATTTAGAAAAGAGAAGTGACCTACCTGCTTAGGGTTGTACAGCAAGAAGGCAGTACAGAATATGGCCCTGAAGTGACCATGCTATGCCTCTTCTAAGGAGGGCTAGTAGAGGAATTTCAAAATCTGGTCCTCAGATTACCTGCCTTTAGTATATCTGGGTTCAAGTGGGGGTGGTACCTGTTAAAAATGTAAGTTCCTTGGGGCTGGGGTTGTGGCTCAGTGGTAGAGTGCTTGCCTAGCACCTGTGAGACACTGGGTTTGATTCTCAGCACCGCATATTGATAATTAAATAAAAAGTCCATCAACAATTAAAAAACATTTTTTAAAAATGCAAGTTCCTAGTTAGTAACAGTGGCATAGACTATAATCCTAGGATGCTGATGCAGGAAATTTGAAAATTAGAAGTCAACCCCACTCAGCAACTTAGCAAGATCCTGTCTTAAAATAATAATAATAATAATAATAATAATAATAATAAAATTATTATTATTTTTAAAAGGGACTGGGGATATATGCAGTGGTTAAGTGTCCCTGGGCTCAATCCCTAGTACTACAACAAAATAAAGAAATCATGGAGGTTCCTGGAACCCACCCCAATCTTCTAAGAGAGACTCGGGTACCTACAGCCTGCAAATTGGCATGGTAACTGGTTCTTTGGGATTCTAGTACATGAAAAGTTTCAGAAACTTTGGACAAAGTCAAGGCTGAGAGGGTGAGTTTGACCAGGGTACACACCCCTTCCTGAAAACCACTGGCACTCCTTGCCCTGCTTAGGCCAGGTGACCCAAATGGATGGGAGGTTTGTAGCTGCATTAGGTAGTGGACAATGAGGACAAGTCCTGTTCTTTGCCTCTTGTCTGGAAAAGTTTGACAGAATAATAGCTGGCAGGTGCTTTATAACCTGCTGTGGAGTAAGAAGAGGGGCACATCTTGCTGGGGAGGAAGCTCCAGGGTATCAGGATTTGCTGACTCCAGGTCAGAGCTATGACTAGGCTCCTGTTTAGTACCTGTTCCACCTTGTCCTTGCCTCCCCACTGAACAGAGTCTGGAGCCCATGGCCAGGGCCTTTGCCCAGTTGGGCCAGCTATCAGAACTTTCAGCCCTTTATGGAAAAAGAATGATGCCCTCTCTCCAAGATAAGCTCATTTATCAAATGCTTGCTTGACCATTTCGAGCCTTGGAGATTGGAAAGTTTCCTGGCATGTCCGTGCCTCAGAAAAGCGGTGACAAATGTTAGCAGCCTTTCTGAGATTGTTGAAGTTAATTGGACATGTGGGGAAGATGGATTCTTTTAATTAGGCCTTTGGATTTTATTCCCTCATTCAGATGTTACATGATTGTGCATACCAGGCTGCTGTAGTTTGGATCTGGAGTGCAGCGCTATTGGGAGGATGTGGGGTCTTTAAAAGGTGGGGCCTGGAAGGAGGAAGTGGGGTCACGAGGGGCAGGGCGAGCCCGCCAAGGGGATACTGGGACCTCACCATTTCCTGTCTCTCTGCTTCTGGACGCCATGAGGCAAGTCTTGTTTGATGCTTCGTGCCCTGCACGATGTTCTGCTCCACTGCAGGTTCCAGAGTCATGGAGCCAACCGACTGTGAACGAAACCCCTGAAACTGTGAGGCGAGATAGACCTTCACTCTTTTACCTTTGATTTATCTCAACTTTCTGTCACAGTGACAGAAAGCAAACACAGGCGTATGGTCTCTTTTTTCTTGCATTAGTCACACTGACCCAGACATAAGGGTTTGGAAAGCAAGGAGCTGAACTCATGTGGTATGCCACACTTTATTTATTTTAATTACATAATGGTGCTCATTTTTTCACAAACTCTGGAAATGCACATAATTTGGTCAGAGGGGCTGCTTGTGAGATGGGAAACTAGGGAATAGCATTGCCATGTGACATTTCTTTTTCTGCTGATGCTTTGGCACTGTGAGCACATTTAGCCTTGCTTGTGTTACTACTTGAACAAAGGCATAATATCAATAAAAACAAATCAAAACATAAAAATGCATATCTTGGTATAGGCAAAGTAGTTCCATGTTGCTCTGCACATTTGCAGAAAAAATAAAGTCCCAGCCAGCCAACAGGGCATTTGTCACACTAAGACCTTCAACGAACTCTAGTACTGCCTTGGTGACAAATACAATGTGTTACATGTTCCAGTGGAGGCATAGGAAGTGGTGTCAAGGGCCCTTAATCCAGTCTGTGGGGCAGGGCAGGGCACCCAAGATGGAGCCAAGACCTGGAGGGAGGTAGAGCCTATGATGGGCAGGGAAGAGTTGTCCTGCTGGAGCATGCAGTGCAAGGTATTGTCAGATGTAGGCTAATAGAGACCTTTATGATGCCTAAAGACTAAGCTCATGGTGATGAGAGCCCCTGAAGGATTATAGGGAGGTGATAAGAATGGGGATGAGCTGTGGACTGACTGGTACATCAGAGGATGACACTGGTGCTTACTGCGCTGGCTGACTTGAAGGAGGTCAGTCTGGAGATAGGGAGAACAAGTGGGAGTGGCATCATCCATCCCTGTGAGATATGATGGAGGCCTGATCTCAGACTGAAGGACTTGAAGGTGAAGTCTTAAACCAGTTAATTGCCCAACTTATGTGGTGCAGTTGGGGCCTTGGCATTTCTGCTCATTTCCTAGGAATTGGATCCCTCAGAAAGCTGTCTGTCTGACATCCTCCTGCAGCCTCCAGCAAAACAGGGTTGAGTAAGGACTAGTGACAAAGGATGGGGCTTGGGGACCTAAGACCATTCTTTTGCATCACAAAGACCAACTTTTCCTTTAGGACAGTTCTTGGGAGGTATGAGCCAGAAGGGATGGCAGAAAATTCTCCTCCCAATTTGGCTCAAGGCAGAATTAACTCAAGTGAAAAATAAAAGCAGCTGGACGAGTCATCTTTCTAGAGTGTGCAGGGATCAGCTAATACCTGTTAGGACCATTTATTTAGAGGCAAGAAATAGTTAATTAAACGGTGCCTTTGTATTTAGGAATGATTGGTCTTTTTTTTCCTCTTTGGAGCAACAGATTTTTTGCGGTTTGTGAAGGCCCTTGAAGACTGTAGTTTAAATTCAACTGGAAAGTGGTCACTGACATCCAGGGCCTGTAAGAAGAAAACAGAATTAGTTTGAGAAATAGAAGATACTTGGTATAATGTTGTCATTTTGGTAATAAGCAAATTCAGGAATAGAGGGGAGATGAAATGCCTGAAGTCACCCAGTAGAACTGTTGAGAATGATCCTTGGTTTGGAGTCATTAGAAATTTTGGCAGGCCTTCAAATCACAGAGTCATAAATATTGAGGCTGCAGGTCCAGTGGCCCAATGTGGCATCTTCATTGGTGATCTCAAAGGATTATCTGTACATCTTTCCAGGATGGTGACTCAGAAAGACAAGATGGCAGCCTTACCTCCTCTTCAGATAATTTGTAGGCTTTCTGGAAGTCAAAGGTGCCATTTGATCTGGGAACCACAGATTCGACTATCTCTTGCCCTCGAAGCACAATCCTGGAGCAAGGGGAGGGAGGACAGTCATGTTACTCCATGCTGTTGATTTTTAAAATCAAACCAAGATCTGTGTTTGACATCAGAAACTGTCTAAGCAGCCTGGCCCTTTCATGTGGTGCTTCAAGTCAATATCTGTGATAGTTTGCACCCTAGAGGACAGTGCCTACAACTGTAAAATTGGTTCTATGCTTGCTATGGCTCTATGGGCACCAGGACAGTGTCCCCTGTGTTGGCAGGTGTTTGGTGATATAAGAGCTGTTTTTATTCCCAGTACTAGAAATTAAACCCAGGGGCACTTTATCATGGAGCTTCATCTCTAGTCCTTTTTAGTTTTTAATTTTGAGACAGGGTCTCACTAAGTTCCTGAGGCTGGCCTTGAACTTAAAATTCTCCTGTCTTGGCCTCCTAACATGCTAAGATTACAGGTATGCACCACTGTGCCCAGCTTTAGGAGCACATTTTATTTAAAATCCATTGACACTGTACCTACCATGGAGTAATGGCTTGCATACTAAGAATGTTCCCCTTTCTGTCATTTTTTTTACTTTTTTTGATTTGATTATGGAGAAATTCTCAGGTAGGTGCTGGTTTATCTTAAAACCTCCCTAAGGCCCCAGTTTGACAAAAAGGACTGACTGCCACCTTCAAGGCAAAAAATTTAAGACAGAATTTAACACCGAGCTTCTTTTTTTTCTACATTTTTTTTTATTGGTGCATTATAGTTTTATATAATGATGGCATTTGTTACATATTTGTACATGAATACAATATAACAATATAATTTGGCCAATATTCAGCTGTGAAGAAAAATGTAATTATGTCCTTTAAAATTAATTTATTTCACTAAGAAACTAATGGATTTAAAGAAAAATCACAGTATAGGTGCTTCGTATTGATGACACCATTGGGAATTTGTTATTAAAATGGGTTTTGGCAGCAGACTCTAATATTAACCTAAGTGTGGTGAACCAGGTGGAGATATACGAGGTCCTGACTAAGGAATAGAAGGTAAGACAAACTGCCATTCTATGCTACTCCATTGAGCTTTCCAATTCCTTTTTTTTTTTTTTTCTTGGTACTGGGATTGATCACAGGGGTACTTTACCACTGAGCTACATCCACAGCCCTTTTTATTTTTTATTTTGAGACAGGATCTGGCTAAGTTGCTTAGGGCTGGCTTTGAACTTGCAATCCTTCTGCCTCAGGCTCCTGTGTTGCTGGGATTACAGGCATGTGCCACCCTGCCTGGCGAAAGCTTTTTCTTTTCTTTTTTTTTTTTTTAAACTGAGCAAAGAGCAATGAGCAACATATTTAAAACTCTTCTGTTTCTGACTTCTAGGGATATGTATGGGTCTGCTCTTCATGTTGTTTTCCCACTCTGGGTCGGGCACAGATCAGATCTTGAACATCTTTGCTTGTCCACCAGTGTTTAACACATGGGAGGTGTTCAATAAATATTTGAACACAAAACAAAGGCTTGAATTAAGACCATCTTGTCTCAATCCTTTTTTGGCAGGGTTGGGGGGCAGTACTGAGAATTAAACCCAGGGGACTCTACCACTTAGCTACATGCGCAGCCCTTTAAAAACTTTTTAAAATTTGAGGCAGTATGTCACTAAACTGCTCAGGCTGGCTTTCAACTTGAGATCCTCCTGCCTCAGCCTCTCAGATATCTGGGATCCAAAATATACATTGTTATGGAAGCCAGAAAAACTATAGCATCAAGATAAAAAAAACCTAATCTTTAAGAAATTATGTATAATCCCACTATCCTTTGGCATACATGTGTATAAATGAGGATCTTTTTAGGAAGCATCTCCCCTGCCCCCAGTACTGAGGATTGAACTCACAGGCACTCTACTACTGAGCTACATCTCCAGTCCTTTTTTTTTTTTTTAAATTTAGACACAGGATTTTGCTAAGTTGCCCTAATTGGCCTCAAACTTGGGATTCTCCTGCTTTAGCCTCCTGAGTCACCAGGATTACAGAAATGCTCCACCATATCCAGCTGAAAC